CGACATCGTTTTCTTGATTTGCCGAGTGAGTTTTACCTCAACTTATCGTGCTCACATGTTGTGACGGGATCTGAATGACGTGGGCTGCCCTTCACAGACGTTTGACCACTGGAAGTAGCCGAGTGTCGGGCCGAGCGACACCAGTGCTCATTATGAAAAACTGGTGGGTATCCGGCATCGCGTGGATTTCAACCCACGACCTCCCGTATCCGAAGCGGACACTCAACCACGAGGCCATGGTTGCTGTCATGTGGTCCCAGTTGGTGCACATTTTTGACGTAAAAGTGACAGAGGGAAACAGACAAACTGTCTGACATAGAAAATACAGGGCACGTCGCTGTCCTCCGGCCTAAGACGTGACGCATTGTGTAAGTGATCGTCCATGGTCATCGTCGCTGCCTCTCGCTTCCCAAAAAGCTTCACTTGGTCCCAGTTAGTACATATTCCTGAGACAAAGATAACAGGGCAAACACACAGGACCCCGACGTAAAAAAAGACATGATACACGGCGAATTAGAAAAGAAAGTTTCACATAGCTGTTTCTTTTTTCTTATTTGTATACGTCGTTTTTATTGTATACGTTTTGTTTTATTTACATAGAGTGCCCTTGAACTATTTTATAACAAGGATAGGGCATATATTGTTAGAGAAACTTGGCAGGATGACGCGGAATGTGCATAAGAAGCCTATAGTGATGAGTTATGAAGTCACAGTGTTTACTCAAAATAATTGAACGTTTGTGCGATTCATTTGAACTAAACGTCACTCCGAGTGTACAACATACAGCAAACGCGTATTTTAACGCAACACGTATCTGATTATTCGTAAGCGTTCTTATGTAATTTCACGCCGCTGAAACGCGGTGAAGTTTGCGACAAGATGACGCAATTTTTGGCTACTACAATTGCAATATAATATGGCGTATGACTGAGACATGACAATGAGCGAATCAACATAACAACAGGGTGTAGCGATGTGACGAAAATTATGCCTATAAACGCACTTGGCTTCCTGACTGCAAGCATGCAGGAGGACTTCTCTGCGTCACCTCTAGATGCGCAAATAATATAGCTGGGCACCCAATAATTTGCGAAAACTAACATCCAAGTCTCAGTTGGGCGTTCCAAGTCAATTATAAAAATCGCAATGTTCTCACAACTCGTCGCCGGCATAGTCCAAGCCGTAATACGACGAGTGAAAGAGACCGCCACTATGGCCCGTTGCCCGGAGTTTGATGCTGTGGCTCGGGTTTAACGTGCATAGCATGATATATCAGTGCGTCCAGCGCATGCATCACGGTTTGCAGGAAATGACGAAATGTTCAGAATTCGGTCGCTGACTCATCGCGAGCTGGTTCACGCTTCGGCGACGAAGGTCTGCGCCTGGAGTGCGGTGACGAGGAATGATGCCTCGTCCGGTGATGCTTCTCCCTCCTAGAAGACCCCGAGCGCCGCGACCTGTGGACGCTGTGGGATGGTGGCGAATCCGCGGATCTATGTTCTTTACTCGTAGTCATCTGCGTCTTGTCGTGGTCGTCGGATTCGCCTTTCACGCTAGAAAGTCCCGCGGAGTCTGCATTTATGCGCTTTCTGACGTCCTCGGCACTGGTCGTGGCCGGAGCTCCAGCTGCCTGCCGATCGAGGGCAGGAGGCGCAGATTTCGCGCAAGTCCTCGCCGACGCGTCGCTCGAATAGGTATTAGCGACTTGCGTTTCTGTAGGTGGCGCGTGCTCGCTCGTGATCGGGCGAAAGGCGATCATTTCCGGGTTTGAAGCGACGATGCCTGGCGTGGAGCGTCGATGAACGATGCTGCCGTTCACAGCGACGCCGTTGACGGTTGCCTTGGAGGAGTCGGCTGATGCCACGAGACCGTTGATTCGGGGTTTCTCGTCACTGGAGCCGAAGCCCGGATTGTCCTTTCCCCCGGCATCAGCGTTCTTCGATCTTCCCAGTTCGATCATGTGCTCGACATCGTACTCGCCCTGCACAGTAAAGATGGCATGTCATTTAGTAAGTGTACACGCATTAAAACATTGAGACTTTCAGTCAACATTTTGCTCAGTACTCTCAACGTATAGATCTTGCAGCCCCGGTCAGTGGGAGTCACAGCCTCGAAACAGCAAGGCTTTCTTTGCATGTACATGCATTAATAGAATATCTATGGAAGATGCAAGAGAATGAAAGTACAGGGACACAGCATTATTCAGATGTCGTGCCTGTTCCAGCCGGATGTGGTACATAGGGGACAATATCAAACACTTGCTCATTTGCCTGTCGATGTGTACATGAGAGAGAGATAGTGAACGTATGCGGCAAGCTTCAACGTACGCACCTTGAAGCACAGCAAAGTGTATATATAGCGTTGTATATACCTCAGTGTACAAGCGCCGTTCAATGGTATCTTATACGTTCCGGTCGTTAACTTTGACTGCGATGCGAAAGCGTTGGTGCATGTAACACTGAGGTGGCACCGGTACACCTGGGGGGGGGGGGGGGGGGGGAGGGGGCTCAAATGAAAGCGGTATGAGAAAGTTTGCAGCTCTATGGCGACTCCAAAACTGCTATACTCCTTCCGCTCGTGAGCTAGTTCTAATTCTACTGTACAGATTGTGCTTTATAGAAGCGCGAGGGTCGTGGTACGGGATGGTTGGCGTGCCATAGCAGCGCAAGTTGGACGTCAACAGAATGGAAAGAAGCAAGATAAGCGCTGCAGCCATTTTTTTGCGTTGCGCACTTGAGAACGAGACAACTGCAGAACGCACAGGTAGCGTGTCCTTGTAAGAGTTTTGAAGAAAATCGCAGAGGAGCAATGATGCACATACATCAAACACTTTACCTAGGTCAGGTGCTATGCACTAAATTATTTTTCACTTTAGCCATATAACAATAAAGTCACGTTACAGTCAGCCCTTTGACTGGCTTGGGTGAGTGAACGAAGTAATATTGTTGCGTCAGGAACAAATTCATTCATATCAATTCACGAAAATCAGAATTTCCATCATCCTGCAAGGTCGGCTGAAGATGCGTGGACATAATGCTTCTTCATCTTCAACGAGTACCGCCACTTTTTGAATACGTTCTGTGCTTTACAACTCAAACCTGTTTAGGAGCTATACAAAATGGGAACATGTGAAAGCAAAATACAGTGAAATCATGCTTTGGCCGTAAGTACAATCCTTTAATTTATTTGTCTGAGATGCTTAATCATAATTACTTCATTGATGGAATGCGTCCTCACTTCTACCCATTTTTTCAGGACCCTAATGGTACATAGTGTGTGAAACTCGAGTGCAGTGCTGTTGTAAACGCAGCCTCGTTCAACGTCACTGTGTTAGGTGTGTCACAAAACCAATCTGGGTTGTTACTGCTTTATAATAGTGAACATGCTGCGAATGGGAACTGCGAACTGATGAATTTGTTCAATTACTTTCTGTAAACGTCGGTTTCTAGTTCGTTTCAATGACGGTACCTTGTGAAGGAATCGTGATGACATTAATAAATTAATTCACTTTGCCGAACAGGCTTTTTCATTAACTTCTATATCAGAAACCTGACTTTCTGATGTCGATGTTGTACTATACTGCTTTTCCTCGTACAATACTGAGTACCGTCACTGCCCGTCTGACGCTCATGGAGACTGAGCCACTTCTATTTTTCTTGACAATAATTACAGACCCAGAATAGAGCTTTCCATTGACATCCCGAATTGCAAATTAGTTTGTATTTAAATTGACGAGCCTAATTTTACACACAATAAAAATTTAATACTTGCTAGTAGTTATCTATCTTTTTCTTCCTTGCTCGCTCAATTCTTATCGGCTCTTGAAACAATCCTGAACAATCTATCACTAGGAAACAAGACATTTTGTATGTAGGCGGTATCAACATTAACTTATATTCTCATTCGAATGATACCATTCCATATAGTGAAAGCATTTTATATGAGATACGGATCAATGTGCCTCATTGATTCGCACACTAGATTTAACACACGTGACGCAAACACTCTTCTAGATCATGCTTTCTCTAACGTTATAGTCCTCAAGTGTCCGGGGTAGTTGGTCGATACCAGTGATCTATGTCTCGTCTTCATAACATTTGATAGTCCGGTTTCTCGAATTGACACAACTTTTACTGCGACGGTTTTTGACCGAGAATGTTTTATCACAGCTATTTCACAATGTGACTACATGGTACAAAGCCGGCTCACAAATGGACCCACAGTCAGGGGTTGATATATTTTTCTCCTTATTGTCAGAAGCTGTTTCTGCAAGTGCTTATACCGCTGGTTATAAGAAGACATACCAAAAGCCTGAAAGTAGTCTCTGCATTGTTAACGAGTCTCAAAAAGAATGATAGTATTTATAGTAGAGAAGAGATAATCCTTCAGTAATACTCTGGCACTAAACATGAAATCGATTTTTTTATCTGCATCTACCAAGTGTGGTGTTGCCTAGTAAAACATATTGTTCCGTGGAAAATAACAGTAGTCAGTCCACAGCCACAACGCAGCTCACCGACAACGTCCACTTCTTCACTCTCAGTCTGAGGCACCTTTCTTGGGTATGTCCCACTATGCCCTGTTTCAGTCAGCCGAAATCAGGTAACAATATTAATGTTTTTCTTTTACCACTTGATCCTTGGGGCCACTATTCTTAGTGGACGGCGAGTCTTGTTATGCGAAGTTTCCTACACAAAATTAATGCATAATTTCTATTCCTTTACTTAGGGGTCACCGTTCTGAGAAAATTGGCGTCAACTCTAAGAAGACACAACTGGATAACGAAGCCACCTGGTCAACCACGCTGCGTTCAACAGGGCGCCTCCCCAATGCATAATAAAATAGGAAAGCAAATTGAATGCATATTTCTGTCTTGGATCTAAGTCTAATGCAAATATAAGTATAGTCTCACATCAACATAAGTAAGCTGAAACAGGTACTGTACGCCTTCACCAATTTTACTCATAAAGCATTTCAATAAATCAGCAAGTGTGTGTTGTCCTACCTAGAGGGCCCCCCTTGGCCTCTTCCAGTCCGAGTTATCCACAGCATCCCCTGGTCGCTTCAAATTAGGATAGGTGTATGATACTGCACAAATAGAACCGACAAACAAGACCAAAATACCCAAAGCACACACACCAAGAAAAGACACGAGAAAATTCAATGCACCACACAAAATAAATCAAGACCAATACGAAAGAATTACAGTAGTTCAGAAGAAGTATGGGCACACAGCATTGCAGAAGAGACGCCATATCATAATTTTAAAACGCATGCATCCATCGATGACCAAAGGCGTGCAATAAAAAGAAAGTGTGATGTTAGTTATATGCAGCCGATGAGGGTCCAGTTTAGAAGAATCCAAAGTGGTGGATGTTGCGGGTCAGTCAACACATTGACGGTTTTGTGGCAAAGCCAAGTCAGCAGCAGCAGAAGGCATGAAAGAAAAAAGAATGAACGTCAGAAGCAATGAGAGCAAAATATATTAATCACAAACTAAGTGACATAATTTCAACTAAATCAACTAAATGATATAAGCGTGCAAAGATGTATTAAACAAGGGTTCAAAACTGTACAGTTGTTTAAAAAAATACTAAACCTATTTAATAACAATGCTAAGAACTACAATGCTGAAACTCATGTCTTAAATCCTTCATATGAGTAAACACTTATGCAATATTTTTACTGTTGGCATATGTTACATGAATTTCTATATCAGAAATTTTTGTCTGCTACACCACAGCGGCTCTTGAAAGTGACGTGTTATAATACTTTTCCTCTTTTAAACAGTGCAATGCTGAACTTCTGTCTACATTGCTATTTTGTTCATACTTTTTATATGCTAGACTCTTAATATTTAAGTACAAGTGACACAACTATTCTAAATTGCAGGTATTTCTATTGCTAATATCTCAGCTTACACAGGCACATCTGATCAAGAACTATTGACAAATGTTGCTTTAAATAATCAGTGGAGCACTATGTTCTCTAACTGCAGCACCTCACGTCACGATCATGAATGACACATTTGCAGTTGCTCAGGCACTCTGACAACTCCACGAACGCTGTCCACATGATAGATTGGAACGTTGAGCAGAGCACAACAGAATGCTGTCAGCATTGCTTCTTTAATTCCGTAAACCACAGTACCATCTGGCGTCCAACTATTATCTGTCACTTGAAAATTACTTCACAAACTCGCAAATCAGCTGAGCATTGCAGAAGATCACACACCACACAACTAATACGCTCATTCAGGTTATTCAAAATCAGCAAATGGGTTAACGGTAGTAGAGTGCCACTCTTTTGCCAATATACCATCCCACTTGAGGCATCTGCACCTAACACCACTAACAAGGTATGCTATAGACACTGGCTACAATTCAGTTTCTGACATGAAATAGTGATTAGCGAAATAAGGCCATATCTCAAATGCACCCATTCTTCACAGCAGTGTACAGTACCATATACTGGCGTTACTGGGAGCCATCACTCTCACTCATTTCATTTGCCACAGCAACTTCAGTGAAGCGGCTTACCTGGCTTATACATTCTGCCTTCACAAACTCATTATAGACAAACAAGTTGAATTCATTAAATCACAGTGGAATTTTTTATTGATAATATTGGTAAAAGAGCTCTGCACCGTGAAGTTAGTTATAGTGCAAGCACCACAACCAAGAAACAGTCCTGCTGGCCTAATCAGCGGGGCCATCGATAAAGCCCTACATCACTGAGCTGCACACTATCGTGAACTTCACTTGCGAAGTTGAACTTCTATTGACAATGGCGATGTAAAATGAAGGAGCATCATGGCATTATGTTTTTTTTTTCACTAGAATACAGCAGTACAGATTCATGCATTCCTGCTGAATTTGACCACTCACTCTATCACCTGTCTTAAGTGTACTGCTTTGCATGTGAAGGATGACATGAAAATCACAGATGAAGTAGCACTAGCCTGAATAGACCAGACACTGACCAGTTCATTAATCTATAAAAATCACAACTGAAAATTGTACGTTAGTTGCCCTTCGAGATATTTCAATATTGTACATGGCCACTGCATCTTAGGATATTTCATGTGCCACCAGTTTCATTAGTGCTTGTGCTGGTGTTCTCCTGTACAAATAGTTTTTATAGACTTCATTAAGAGCATACTTATTCATCTTTTAACTTTTGCCACAGCATCTGTTATGCCGCCTACACCAAGTACAGTTAATGTAAATTCTTCCCAAACTGCGCAAACCTTGGTTTTCATGAAATATTTCAAAAAAAATTTGAATTACCCATGAAATATCAAAAAGACCCATTTTAACATTTCATGTTATCAATGAAAGTGTACTGCTGAAAGTGAGAAACAGTTAAGATGTATCTCGGTCACATAAGATGAATGATAACTTCTAGTTTGCAGTTCACCAAGTACAATAATATAAGAACAGGCAGTGAAATACACATCTGAAAGAAAAAGTGTCGATTAGTCTGTTCTTGCCACTCCTACTGAACCAACAAAAAAGGGGTTAATGAGTCCAAATTGAGACAAAACATGATGAAAAGTTAACCAAGCTTTTTTTACATCCATCTAAGATGCTGAGTACCTCAGCAGCAAAATCTGTGCACATGAAGCAGCTGAACCCCGAAAATGCATATAGCTATACATGTATGTTTGTATCGATTTCAGCCAGTAAGCAATGCACGCATGTACGCATGAGTGTCGTCCTGATTTTTTGTGGGAGGGGGGGGGGGAGAAGGGTTGCAATTTTGTGTTGCATAATGGTTGGGGGGTGGAGGAGAGCACTGATTTACTGATGTAGCAGGCTGGGGGCAACTGCTGGTGTGGCTCAAGAAGGGATAAAAGCCCCTTTTGTGCCAGCATGCGGACACCTATGCATGTAGTAAACACAAGTACCTAGCTGCTTGAAAAGATTGCATGCACTTTCTCAAGTAAGCATGCTTTTGACAAGACCTCAGCATAGTGCCTTGCCTACACTCAAGCGACAGGGCGATAATATCCACAAGACTAAACATCTAATGATTTATAGTGTCAGAGCCACTAAAAGGAAAACAACTCACTGTAACAAGGGCAGTGGTCATGGAGCTCGAGTATAGAAAAGGAAGAAGACTTGCTGTGATCGCAGGCTTGCGTTCAATTAGCCCTTGCGCTAAATAAAGCTCTCCTTCGCCGAGTCAACTCCTGCTTATTCAACAGCCCGTTTCAAGTGGTGGAAGTGCTGGGTTCATCTGGTCCTCACCCTGGAAAAAAAACAGCGATAGCGTTCAATCGCAATGCTATCGCGTACAGCTCAATCCTGTTGCTCCAGAGCTGAAACAGAGGCATAATTTCGCGAGAGTCTTCTGACACTAGAGTGATGTGCGAAATCGTGCGAGGTGGCGCCCGTTAGTTTCATACGAAATGTTTTATTCGCAGACGTGTTTATGACATCTTCGAGAAGGGCACTGTGAGACTGAAATGCGGCACTAAATGCAAGCAAATTCCCAAGCGCATTGCGCACTTCTAGGAAAGGCGTCGCCAGACAGGCGCACAACTACAGTTCAGGGATGCTAGAGAATATTGCAGATACCAGTGTGACTGGATATGTGTATGCAGAAGTGTACAACGAGTGAATCAATAAGTGTGCTGGAGTGTCACGTACCTGGTCCGGGCAGGAACACAGATGCATTGCTCGCCGTGGGGGCCATCTCCGTCACGTGCTTCTTCCCCTTCACTTCAAGCCCGACGACGAGGCACAGCAAAACTGACTCGAGGATCACCCGCCTCATGGTGTTATTCAATCGTGCTTTAGTCACCAAAAAAATGCTGCAAATTGAACTGATCCACTACGCGAAGTTCAACACAATCTTTTCACGACTTCTTCTGTTGAAGCACCCGTACAAAAAAGAGGGCAACAGGCTTGCAGGGCAAGCGAATTGCCTAGGTCTGATGCAGAACTGCACGGGTTGACTTCGCGTAGCAGGGATTACTTCTATGGCAGTGACAGTGTACGCCAATGGTCGATCACGTGACAGTTATACACTCAGAAAAACAGGCGCTATTTCGGGTTTCCCGGACGGAACAGTCTTTCACTGACCACCGTCATCAATGCAGCTTAGGCGCACTCCGCAAGATGACGATAATCCCTGAATCATCATGCTTGCGGTAATCCCAATGGTCATTCGAGGGGCTACGCAAGCAAACGAGGATCATTTACGTTAATCCAGAACAACTCCGTGGCGTTCACATCTGCGCGAGTAGACGAGCAGCCCCAATGGACTTTCAGCAGCACTCAGGTGCGAAGAAAGATCACAAATATTGTAGTCCGCAGTGTACGAAGAGGACCCCCCGAAAGAAAGTGTTATCCGAGAGTGCGCGGACGTTGGAGCATAAAGCATGCACGTTCACCGCTTCCCACTGCCCGGTGGTGCTTCAGAGTCGCAGACGGTGCCGTGACACGGGGCAGGAGCACACAGTATCGCACACGGTACGACACGAAACGAATGTGCAGAGAAGAGCACGCGCTGTGTCGCGTAGCCAGGCGCCTGGCATTCCAGCCGGCCAGCAGCACCGACGCTCGCTGTCGCCGCCGCCGAAGGAAGAGCGAAGGAAGAGGCGCGAGATAGCGGGCTTTGCTATGCGGAGAAGCCCGTATCTCAGTCGAAGGAACGACGACAGCGTCACCCACCCCCGTCCGAGGCCGAGAGAGTCAGTCGGCACACTGCGATCAATGTTTGCGGCTGCCGACGCGTGGTGCCGCCTTGGTCGTGGCCGCGGGGAGGCAAGAAGGACGTCGCCTGTGTCGTCACACGTGACGTCACGCAAAGCCAGGGCAGGTGCGCCATCGGGGCCAGGAACGAGGGCGGGCAGGTATTTTTGCCTGTGCCTTCTTCCTCCGCCATATCCATCTCATACGTCGTCTTCTCTGGCGGAACTCGAAATCGAATGAAGGTTCCCCCGCTGCGCTTCCCTGTTTCTCAAGGGTATCAGATGACGCCGTCCAGGGCAGCTCGGAAGTGCCGGCTCTGCCTAGCGTGACACAAGAGTACTCCAATACCAGAAAGCACTTACAGAGAGACCGCGACTTATTCCGCGTGTCTTTGTTTACAGATCTAATGTTTAAAAACTGAATGAATGGCCATGAAATATTCGGGAAGAACCGACTCTGGCTGCTTCTAACATCCACTGGAAGGAAGGAAAATAGGAAAAGAACGGCAGGGAGGTTAACCAGCCTATAGGCAGCCAGTTTGCTGCCCTGCGCATGGGAGGGGGATGGGGGAGATGAAAGACAGAGAGCAGAAAGGGAAGAGAGATAAACACAGCCCAATCGGCAGCACACGCGCGCACACTCAGTCATTGTCCAGTCTTATCTTTCGCGGTGTGTCACATTGCTGTTACAGCCGCTTGTTCAAGTCCATGTCGCGTAGGAATTTCAACATTGATTGATTTGTGGGGTTTAACGTCCCAAAACCACTATATGATTATGAGAGACGCCGTAGTGGAGGGCTTCGGAAATTTAGACCACCTGGGGTTCTTTAACGTGCACCCAAATCTGAGCACACGGGCCTACAACATTTCCGCCTCCATCGGAAATGCAGCCGCTGCAGCCGGGATTCGAACCCGCGCCCGGCGGGTCAGCAGCCGAGTACCTTAGCCACTAGACCACCGCGGCGGGGCTAGGAATTTCAACAGAACTTTGGTCACCTTCTGTTGCAATGTCTTCTCTCGGGCACTTGACAGAATAGTGTCCACAGACATTTGGCTGTTGTCGATGCGCTCAAGATGCGCCAGTGACTGTCTCTGGATGTCATACAACGGACAGTCGCACAGGATGTGGTGCAGCGTATTTTTGCAATGACAGGCATCGCAGAGAGCGTTGTCGGCCATTCCTATGACACAGGAATAAGATTTTGTAAATGCCCCTCCTAGTCATAAGCGATGCAGAAGGGTGCTAAAGCTACTGACGACATTATGGGTGTCCCTTGGCTTATACCACCACGCCTTGCCCCTTACGGAAGAAAGAGTACTGAACGCTATTTACTACACGGCCACTTCAGAAACCAATGTAGCCTTTGTGACCACCGACGAGACGCTGTTCTTACCTCCGTATAAACGCATTTTGAGCGCAAATCAGCAGCTGATATCGCATTCTCACGAAAAACATGTTAAAAGAACATTGAAGAGGAAAATGTGTTGTTTTCAGTAAATTATCCATGCACTATTCTAAAATCACTATGCACGCCGCGAGAAGGCGCTTGGTAAGTGAAAAAACGCGCAAAGCAAAAATGCAGGTAGCGAAGCCACCTTAAACTTCCTGCACCAAGCGCCGTGACGTCATAAAATTTCACAGTGTTTACTTAGGCCTGATATACACTGATGGGTCCGTCTCAGTCCAGCAGCTCATCAGGTGCCGCTGTAATTCCGGCTGCAGAAATGACAATCGAGTTTAAGTTGTCGCATATGACTACATCTACGGCACCAGAGCTTGCTGCTATAAGGGCTGCTTTACAATATCTCGTTCATGAACGTCCAGGAAAATGGGTCATATTCTGTGATTCGAAGGCAGCGCTTCAGAGTTTGCAGTCTGGCATGCGTAGGAGGAGCCATGACCAACTGGTACAAGAAATAAGACATTGTCATCATGAAGCTCTAGCACGAGGCCATGATATTATATATCAATGGCTGCCTGGACATATCGGTATTACCGGAAATCAATTAGCCGATGATGCAGCCCGCTCAGCCCATGAAGAAACCCGTGTAGTCCCGATTCCTCTATCAAGGAATGATGCAGCAAGACAACTTTACCTGCTGGCTCGAGATCTCACACGCACGTTCTGGTCGTCTACCAGCTTCCAAAGGTGTCAATTTTATGAACTGGATCCTTCGCTCAAGCTAAAGCTACCATCCCAACTTTCCCGCTCCGATGCGACACTGTTATGCCGCCTTTGGTTGGGTGTTGCATTTACAAAGGCGTACTCCTTTCGCATTGGTATGACAGACACTCCTACATGCGACTACTGCGGAGCTGAAGAGACCATCGAACACGTCCTGTGCAGCTGCGCTTGCTACAACACACAGCGATGCCAGCTCCGGATGGTTTTGAATCGACTTGACCCCGGACCATTTTGTGTGCAGAAGATACCAGGACCTTGGGCATCTGCCTCAGTTGCGCAGAAAGCAACTAAATCACTGCTACTTTACCGTAAGTCCACAAACCTGAGCGACCGCCTGTAGACTATGTGTGCTCCCCGAGTGTGCTCGTGATTGTGTGTACCTTCTCATCTTTCTGCAACCTCTTTTCTCCCCTTCATCCCTTCCCCAGTGCAGGGTAGCAAACCGGATGTGCGTCTGGTTAACCTCCTTGCCTTTCCTTGCATCTTTATCGCTCTCTCTCTATTTAGGCCTGCGTAGTTCTGAACAGGTATAAATGAAGCACATTGTCTGCTGATGGGCAGGAGACTTCACGTATTGAATTTCGAAAAAGTTTCATCGAGCCCATGTCTGCAGAGTACAACAAATATACCATTGCCTGATATGCGTCTTCAGAAAAAGGCGAACATCTTCCTGACACACTTCTTAGCGGAGACCGGGCTGGATAAGCGCCTGTGTTAGACAGCCAGGGGTTGACATACACCAAATTATCTGTTAGTGCGTATACTGACAGTAGAAAAGAAAGGTGTCCGTGTGAATGCATGCCTGTGTGAACAGCTACAAGCTAAGTATACATTTCCATGATATTTCAACCGGTTTCAGTGGGCTATTATTATTTTTTTGTGCGTGTTTGCTCATCATTGAGTACCATTCAGTATTAATCTTTTATTGTTTTTTTTCGCTGCAGAACTTATTGATATAAAGTAGCCGAGGCAATACGGACCTCAACCTCTCAACAGCGAAACACTTAGAACGGAACAGAACTTCAAAATTCATGACGTCATGCACACAGATTTCAGTGCGAAATTTAAAAATGGTACTTTGACCTTGATTTATACTGTAGTAGTGAACTTCCGATAAAAATGACGACATTACAGTTCTCAGAGAACACTTAATCAATCTAAACAAATTCATTGTTTCGCTTTAGTGTCCTTTCAAGCTCTGCAAGGTAGTTGTTGCAACGTTCGAAGCAACGGTTTGCTCTTTCCACCCACGTGAGGGATCACGGCAGACGTGTCAAGACGAAGGAGCTAACAATGTGGCGGGTGAAAGCGTGTGCACTTTGACGAGCGCGCTTTGACGAGCGCACTTCGATGAGCGCACTTCGACGAGCGCACAGCTTCCGGGGGTGTCACTGGAAGCAATTTTCGGTCTCGGGAAATTTCCACTCTAACGGATCACACCATATAGCTGCATTCCCACACGCGTTGTAAAAGGCCCGCAGCGCACTGTCAAGGCGGATGCATTACGGCAGGTTTACATAAATTTACAGACATTGCGAAGTACCGAAAATGTGCACTATCAGATGGCAAAGAAAAAATTCAGCCAGCTCCAATGAGCGGATACGGATGAAACAGCGCAACGGCTAGTGGCGTACAGTCAGCGGCGTAAGATATTGTTTTTAGGGGTGGCGGGGAAGGGGGGGGGGGGTAATTTCGACTACCTGGCATTGTTTAACGTGTACCTAAATCTAAGCAGAGCTCAAACTCCCGAGTGTGAAAGTGGGTTTATAGATGAAGGCGTATGTCACCTTCTCATCTACTGTCCCCATCATGACACGCCAAGACGCGGTCTTAAACCGGAACTGTTGGCATTAGACCACAGACCATTATGTATCAGGAAACTTCTGGGCTCGTGGCCAACAGGAGTTTTAAAGATGCACGCCTTAAAAGCGTTAAAACGTTTTTTTACAATACAGCGGAATCGCTGGCTAGTACCAAGAAATAACGAACTTTCCTTTGTATAACACATATACTTATTATGCGCAGTATCATATGACACCCATCATATGCGTGTGCTGAAGTGAATGACCTGTCGACTGTTATGTACACACGAGCGAATACATCTTCATTAGGACCTGGCGTGTTCTCTGCTGTTTTTTGTGCTGGTTGGATTGAATGTTTACGAGGGACATCTATAAAGGCTCCATTCGTTGCCTTTAGAACATTTTCTTATCACTGTGTTGTGTTGTGATATGTGCGTATAGGTGTGTTATTGCATATGTGTGCTCGAATGTTCTACTTTCCATAGAATGCTTTGTACATTTTATTTTATTAATATATGTGTTCAAATTTCGCTAAAGGGCTAAGGAGTAGCCGGCACCACACTTGTGCGCCAACATCTCGTAATATATCATATCAATAAAAAAAAGCACACAGGCCTACAGCATTTTCACCTCCATCAAAAATGCAGCCGCCGCAG